GTAATTGATCTGTCAGCTAGTTGTAAGGTGATGGTAGTAGGCTTTACTTCTCCAAGTCCCAATTTCTTGAATAATGATAGGGATATTAGATTGATGCTAGTCCTAAAATCACACAGTGCCTTTTCAATGGTAGGCTCGCCAAATGTGCATGGAATTGTTAAGCTTCTAGGTCCTTCAATTTCTGAAAGGGCTTATTTTAAAAAATTGTCTTACACTCTTTTATCAATTTTACTATCTCAAACTCCTCTAGCTTTCTCTTCTTTGACATCACTTCTTTTAGAACTTTGGCATAATTCAGCATAGGAAAAATTGTAGCAGAGGTCCCAAAACTTCCTATTTTTTGGAAAATTATAAATTGGCCTTTCATTTTTTCGATCGCGATCCAAACCTTTCACTTTAATAGCAGTTGGAGTCCAAATGGCTGATTCCATCCATAATGCCATTAGTAACACAAAAAATGGATTTTTGATTCAAATTGGCAAATAAAATGAGGGACAAAATGGTAAATCAAAATTTCTATAATAAAAACTTTAAAATAATTAAACAAAAAAATAAAAAATAAAAAAAATGTTTCATCATCAACCCCACAGCACCTCCACCCCCCTACTTCAAAAACCACAGGACCAATCAGCACCCACCGTCGCCACCACATCTACACAATGCTGTTCGTCCATCGCCATCACTACAAACTACCAGACCACCGTACTTAAATCTAAAACAACACCACAAGACAACCTGCCACATCACACTGTTCATCCCCTACCCCCAAAACCATATAACTGATGCCTAATATGTCCATGATAGTCGAACTCGCGTATGTCAAAGTGCATTGACTCTCAAGTACGAAGTACGTTCAAGAGGTTCGTCTTGATGCCTATCTTTCCAATGATTTGAAGAAGTTTCTTGTGCATAATACCACAAAACTAGAGCTACTAATGATGCACAGCAGGTAATAAAATTAAGTCCCAAATTCCTCTCTTGGATTACCCCACTTTTATGTATATATAATGTCTATTATATCTACTTTCTACAAATTAAGTGTGGGGATATGGGCATATTGTCCCAAATTGCTCGAAATGAATCTACCAAAAAGAGGAAAGAAACTGTGGAAAGAGCTGGACAGCTTGATTTTATCATCAACACTAACAAGCTTGCTAAGTTAGGGATGGAGGTGGGGAGAAAAAGATTGGTTCTCTAGTTCTACGTTTTTTGGGAGGGTAGAAGATGAATAGTGTTGATTGTTATTTTTATTGTTTTTTATTTAATTATTTTAATTGTATTATAAAAAAATATAAATTCACCATTTTGCCCATCATTTTTGAGTCAAAATTCCATTTTTGGTGTTGACTAATGATATTGTTGATGGAATCTACCATTTGGACTTCGGCTACCATTAAAGTGAGAGGTTTAGATCGTGGCTACAAAAATGAAAAGTTAAGGTATTTTGTGCAAAAAATGAAAGGTTTAGGACCTTCACTGCAATTTTTCCTTTAGCATTTGTGCCAAGACATCTACAAAACGAATGTTGATGTGGATCTTTTTGAATACTTCCAGGAATTTTGCAAATTACTCATCAATTTTCTTCCTCAAGAACCTTCGTGGATATGGCAATTGTGACTTCAAGATCCGTGGATTATTTAGGAATGAAATTGAGTTAGGCTTATAATCTTTTTGTGTGGTCTCTTCCTCAACATTATGCTCTTCTACCAGCGTTTCTTTAATATGTTTGGTTATTTGTTGAGAGTTTCATCTTTGACTGAGTTTCTATTATTTACATACCAGATTTTCTCATTCTTCATCTCAGACTCTTGGTGCAATGAAGAAGCAGCCATAATAGATATTGCTTTCTGTTGAGTCCCCTGTAAAGTTAATGCAATTATTTGATTTGTGAGTGATGATATTTGAGCTGCAAGGGTTGTAATAGGATCCAACTCATAAAGACCAGCAACTTTCTTTGCACTTGAACTCTCAATTGGCCATGATAGTGGCTATTTTATCCGGCAAGGAGTAAGCAACATCTATGGTATTGGATATCAAAGTACCTCCTACTGCAGCATCAACTATTGTCCTTGTTTAACCATTCAACTCATTGTACAATACTTTTATTTGCAACTAGCTTTGATAATCATGTTGAGGGTTTCTTCTAAGTAGATCTTTGAATCTCTCATTAGCCTTATAGAATGGTTCTAAGTCCGCTTGTCCAAACTGGCTAATTTGTCTCCTCAATTAAGCCTCCTTGGAAGGATGAAAAATTAGGTGAGAAAATTCTGAGCCCACCCTTCTCAAGTTGTGATAGATTCATATGGTAATAATTGGAACGCTTTATCCCTCGAGGAGAAGGAAATAGACGAAGTCTGATGGCATCTTCGGTAATGTCGTGTATCTTTATGATATCACAGATCTCAAGAAAAGAACCAAGATGAGCATTTGAATCATCTGTGAGAAATTTCCAAACTAATTCTGTTGAACCATGTGCATCAATCCCTGGCATGCAATCCCAAAGTAGTTGTCATTGACAACTGGTATGATATAATCCCATATAGTTTGTTGTTGACTAATTGCCATTATTTCTCATTCATTTCTTTGTAAGCCCCTTAAAAAATGGAAAGTACACTCTAGTTCAGAATCACTGGGCAGTAGTTCGAGATTTCCCAATCTTTGCATAAACATTAAACAAGAACCAAGCAAACTATTCAAACGTACATAAATATAAATTAAAACAAAATCTATTTGGTAATAATATTAGTAAAAATTAAATAAAACAATCCTTGACAATGGCACCAAAAGCTTGTTATGCGTTTTCTAACATAAATATACCGCAAGTGTAGGGTGTCAAGTTTTGTAATATAATAATGGAGTTAGAATGTCAAATCCACAAGGATTGATAATTAACTTCTACCAAGTATTATAATTATATAGCTCTTATTTTATTTAGATAACTAAATTTTAAGATCAATGGTTTTAACTAAGTTAACTTAATGAATATGGGGATAAAATCAACAAATAAATGCAAGTTAGAAGAATAATCAAGACGAGAAAGCCTAGTGTTATGATTTCACCTAACTATCAAATATGATTCTCAATTACATAATTATTTCTGATCAATTTTCCCAAATTTATAAGCAAAAACCCTAATTTAATTCTACTCCATCTCTCTCCAGTGTCGAGTAAAAATTATTCTTATATTTCAATTCCAATAGTTGTATTCTTAATTAAAATCTAAAAATTATGAAGCTCATAGTTCTTATGTGGAATTGCTTCAAACATTTTATACTTTCTTTCAAAACCTATGAAATTTTGGTTGTGTTATTCTAAGACCAATCCTAAATTTTTCTCTCTCGAGTGCCAAAATTTAAAGCATCTAATTATTCAATTAGTGGCCAATTAATAGAAAATATTATGAGTAAATAACTCAAACAAACATAATTGGAAAATCTCAAAGAAATAACCTTCTAAATATCTAAACATAATCTCAAGTTGGTTACCTCAAACCTTAGATTAGATGTTTAGTTCATAATGGATGAAAGAGAAAATATCAAATTCATAATAAAATAAAATAAAAACATATAGAGAAGAGAAGAAAGAAAAACTGATTTTGGAATTGATTCGTTCTTCTTCTTCTTCTTGATATTCTTGATGTCATTCTTAATCTCTAGATTAATTTCTTGCTCTTGCCTCCATGAATTGTGCTTGAAAAGTGACCTTTAGATTGGTGTTTATGCCTTTTTGAAGTCCTTTGACGAGTTCGATTGAAACTAGGCTTTTAAAAGATGAATTAAGTTTAAAAACCCTAACTGTAAGAAGGCTAGCACCTAGGCACCAAACTGGGCACCTAGGCACTGCGAATATGGGTCAAATTGACGATTGGACATCTGAGTGAGGTTTCTATGTGCTGACTTTGGGAAAAACTTGGCAATGTTGCTTCTAAGAGCTGAGCGACAATGTCTAGTTGCTCAGTTCAACTTTGTTTGCACTTCATAGCTTTCAATATTTTTATCATAACATTTTCTCCTAATATTCGATTGAAGCGATATATAGTACGTTAAAAATATTAACTCAAAGGGCTACAACTTAATTACAGATAGTTTTTCCAATTCGCACGTTTACTACGTCAAAAATGGGTCTCAATCTTAGGCTAAAAATTTAGAACACGCTTGTACGGTTGAAAGTTGATATGTGAAAATATTTTGATCATATTTCACTCATTTTTTACATCAAATTGCATCCGATTGAATCATAGAAATCTTCAACTACCGTTTTGTGGTCCGAATCAACTATTCAAAAGTTACAATCGAGTCTTCAAATTTTGGATTTCACCAATTTTAGTCGTTATTCATTTCTTTCTTTCAATTTAGCCTCTAATCATCAAGTTTCACCTAATCAACATCAATTTCTCCTTGATTCATCTAAAAATAATTCTTTCCTCGAAGTTATACATCATCACACCGTTTACCTAACCTATAAAACAATACGAAAACACAAATCAAAATGTCTAAAGCTCTACGAATCAAAGGAAATATCAAGATTAAGTAGCATTAATATAACGAGTGAAACACACTAATCACTACTCAAAATACCCAAAATGAAAACAAGATTCTTAAATGGAGATCATGAAGAAAAGCTATACATAAAACAACCTGAAGGATTTACTAATGATAAAGGAAATCAAGTATTCTGCAAATTAAGAAAAACCATATATGAGCTAAAACATGCTTCCCATCAGTGTTATTTGAAGTTTCACAATTTTGTTGTATTATATATTTTTACAAAAAAATATCATTGATCAGTACATATATGTAAAAGCCAGTGGGAGCAAATACATTTTTTTCAGTCCTATATGTAGATGACATTTTACTTACAAGCAGTGATTTAGGTTTGCTACATGAGACAAAATAGTTTCTTAGTCGAAATTTTGAAATGAAGAATATAGGTGAAGCTCTTATGTCATTAGCATAGATATTCAAAGAGATAGATCTAAAATGTCATTAGGATTGTCTCAAATGGCCTATATTGAAAAGGTTTTGGAAAAATTTCGGATGAAGGATTGTGCATCAAGTGTAGCGCTCATTGTTAAAGCGGATAAATTCAGCTGTAAACAGTGTCCATTAAATGAATTGAAAAGACAATACTTGGCTTCTATGCCCTATGATTCCATTGTTGACAACTTGATGTATGCACAAGTCTATACTAGACCTGACATTGCATTTGCTGCTAGTATTAGGTAGATATCAAAGTAATTCGGGTATAGAATATTAGAGAGCCGACAAAAGTGATAAAGTATTTTCAAGAAACTAAAGAATACAGATTCACCTACAAACATTCTAAAAATCTTGAAGTTGTTGAATATATGGACTCGAATTTTGCTGCTTGTGTAGATATAAGAAAGTCTACTTCAAGATACAATTTTTTTCTAGCTAGAGGAGATGTGTCTTGGAAAAGCAGTAAGCAGACTTTAATTGCATATCTATCTTGGAAGTAAGATCATTGGTTATTGTAAAGCTATGACACAAGCATTATGGTTGAAAATTTTTGTCAAAGGCTTAAAAATTGTTGACTATAGAGAAGTATTTGAAGAATTATTGCGATAATTTTGTTGCAATTTTCTTTTCAAGAATTAACAAAAGTGATAGCCGAAACAATGAAGTGGAGATTGAGCATATCAAGACAAATCTTATGATAGAAAATCCCATGACTAAAAGCTCAGCAGCTAAATCTTATAAAGCTCATGTTGAAAACATGGGACTTGCGTGCTCAATCATGATACTCTAATTCTTGTTTCAAGATTGTTGTTTTTGTATATGAAACAATTTTATTACTGCACTTAAAGTTTGTAATGGATATCCATTGTGATTATTAAAGTTTTAGACCCATAATAACTTTTAGGAAGTTATTCATAAAGTAAAGTACTTCTTTAGAAATGAACATACTTGTAATACAATGAAGGAAATGTCTGATTATTAAAATAGGACTACAATGATTCAAGTATTGTGTATTTCTATTTGAGTAGGTTATTGACGTTTTTAGTACATGGCCACAAAATACTCACCTTAAAGTTATTGAAGAATATGTGATCATGTGGGAGAATGTAATCGTTTATGGCACGTAGTCAATTCCAAAGATGATGAAAGTTTAATGTTGAGTTTATTAAATGTCAATAATAACTTCCCATTTATTGAAGGGAAGTTATTGTAGGAAGACAACCACAACTTTGATGGATGGATGTTGGTAACTTGTTTCCTATATAAAGATGCCAAGGGTCCGTAGTTGAAGCCGTACAAAATTCCCTGCACCATTTTCCTCTCTCAAATTGGAAGTCATATGCATTTATTTTCATCAAATAAAGTGGTATAAAGTCAGTATTCACTAGAAGGCTTTTCGGTATTGTCAGGATTAATTTCTACTGCATATTCTCAATTAACATTGGATAACATAGCTGGGGATACGCATTTAATTGTCATTATGGGTCCAAACTTTAATAATCACAATGGATATTCATTACAAACTTTAAGTGCACCAATAAAATTGTTTCAAATATAGAAACAAGCTATAAAATTAGAATTAGAATATCATGATTGAGCACACAAGTTCCATGCTGTCAACATGAGCTCTATAAACTTTAGCTAGGAAGCTCTTAGTCATGGGATATATTAACATAAGATCTATCTTGATATGCTCAATCTCCACTTCATTTTTCTTTAATGATCTCTGACAACAAGATCTTTATGTCGATATGTTTGTTTTAGCTTCCACTTTTGTTATTTATTGAGAAGAAAATTGCGCCGAATTATCCTAATAAATCTTCAAAGTCGTCTCCATAGTATCAACAATTTTTAGCCTTTGACAAAATTTCTTTACCATAATGTTTGTGTAGCTTCATAACTAATGAATTCTGCCTCTATGGAAGACTTGAAAATGATGCCACATGTAAGAAAATTAAATGCATACCTCCAACCATGTCATCCAAGATTAATTGAGACTATGTTGTAGAAATTAAACTAGACACTACCAACAAGCCTTCTAGCCAATATCCTGCTTTGTAACCCCTCTATTTGTTGAAAAATAAGCACAAATGACTTTCAATATGATAAAGAATATACTGCGAGGAATTTCGAACGGATTTGACTAGGGACCTTTGTCGTCTTTATATAGGAAACAAGTTACCAACATCCATCCATCAAAGATGTGGTTGTCTTCCAACAATAACTTCCCTTCGATAAATGGGAAGATATTATTGACATTTAATAAACTCGCCATTTAACTTTCATCATATTTGTAATGTTCCATAAAAGGTTACATTCTCCCACTTGATCACATATTCAACAATAACATTAAGGTGAGTACTTTATTTCCATATATTGAAATGTCAATAACTTACTCAAATAGAAGTACATAATACTTGAATCATTATGGTCCTATTTTAATAATCAAACATTTCCTTACATGTATTACAAGTATGCTAATTTCTAAAGGAATACTTTACTTTATGAATGAACTTCCTCTGGACCCAAACTTTAATAATCACAATGGATATCCATTACAAACTTTAAATGCACTAATAAAATTATTTCAAATACAGAAATAACAATCTTAAAACGAAAATTAGAATATCAGAATTGAGCACACAAGTCCCATGTCTCAACATAAGCTTTATAAAATTTAGCCGGCAAGCTCTTAGTCATCATAAGATCTGCTATTATAAGATCTATCTTGATATGTTTAATATCTACTTCATTTTTCTGTATATAATCTCTAACAACCAAATTCTTTATGTCGATATGTTTGCTTTGGCTTCTACTTTTGTTATTTCTTGAAAAGTAAATTACAGCCGAATTATCACAATAAATCTNTACAGGGCGGATGAGGATTATGATTACCTGTTTAAGGTAGTGCTGATAGGTGACTCTGGCGTAGGAAAATCCAATCTTCTGTCCCGTTTTACGCGCAATGAGTTCAGCCAGCAATCAAAATCCACAATCGGTGTTGAATTCGCTACCCGATCAATTCAAGTTGAAGACAAGGTCGTCAAGGCCCAGATTTGGGACACCGCTGGCCAAGAAAGGTATCAGTTATTCTGAATCAGTCATTTCTATGAACCATTTACTCGTTGATTTGTATTGGTTTTTAGGACAAATGATATTTTGTGGGTGGATCTAAGAAAACTGTTATATTAACAGTTCATATCCTTATTCATGAAATATGATTGGTGAGCTTTTGTTTGATTGCAACCTAAACGTTTGATTGGAATAGTATTGATATTTTAAAGCCTAAGGAGTAAGGCATGAAGAATCACAATCATGTCTATGGTTTTCCATTATTAGATGAATCTGCATTGAAAATCTTTTGTTGCTTTTTTTTCCTAGGAATTCAATATAACTCGAATTACATATGAAAATATAACCAATAAGGGTTTGAGTGGACCCGTCTTAAGTAGTTTTTGAGGGAAAAAAAGGGTCCCTTCATTGTCTTGAAAGAATTTTTTATTAAAATTCTTGTTGGCCTGCACTTTTTATTACTTCCATGGTCAGATTTGGGCAGCAGTAAATTTTCCTCTTTTGGATTTTGCATGCTATGTGATTCCATTAACAATTTAACAGATAATTTCCGTGAATTTTGATTATTGCCAGTCAACAGGGTTCTCCTAATAATATCAGTTGGGGGAGTCTTGTCCAAATCTTGAATGTCCACAAAGCATGTTTATTCTCTGAGGTCATGTCATGTACTCTATTCATGTAGGGTCAGAACAAGAATCGCTTGAAAGTATCTACGCAATATTTCATGAATATATACTTGACTTCTTGCTAATTCCAGGTATCGTGCGATCACGAGCGCCTATTACCGAGGAGCTGTTGGCGCTCTACTTGTTTATGATGTCACGCGCCATGTAACATTCGAAAACGTGGAAAGATGGTTGAAGGAGCTTCGAGGTCACACGGACATGAACATCGTAATCATGCTCGTTGGAAATAAATCCGATCTTCGTCATCTGCGAGCTGTTCCCATAGAAGACGCTAGGGCATTTGCCGAAAGGGAGGGCACGTTTTTAATGGAAACTTCGGCTCTGGAATCTTTAAATGTTGAAAAAGCTTTCACAGAAGTCTTGACACAAATCTATCATGTAGTCAGCAAGAAGGCTCTTGACATGGGAGATGATCCTGCAGCTTTGCCCAAGGGACAAGCCATTAATATCGGAACCAAAGACGACGTATCCGCTGTGAAGAAGACTGGATGCTGCTCCGGCTAGTTCCTGTAGAACTAAAATTAAAACCATGAAGAATTTTAACTGCCCAGAAAAAACAAATGTATAGAAAAAGAAGAGTAATTTGTTGTGGAGTTGTGTTAGGCAAGTGACAGATTCTTCTTTACTTGATAGAAAAGGAGACAAGTATTTTCGCAGTCTAAATCTATGTAAGGAACATATGGACTAAACAGGTAGTTACTCTTTCCTTTGATTTAATTAATGTCAAAAAGTGGATGCAAAAACCCCTCAAAGCCATGAGGTGAGTAAGTACTGTAAACTTCAGGATCCCGCGGAATTAGTTGAGCCCGGATACCCATGGTCCCAAAAAATAATAATAATAAATAAAATAAACCATAGATGCAAAAAAAGTGGTGTTATAAGAGTAGTTATGCATGTTATATCTATCTTCCTATGATCATAAATTTAGAGCTTGTTCAGGAGAAATTTTTCATAAACCATTTTTCACGTGGTTCAATAATTTTTCTCTATTTTTTAACTACATATCTTCAAAAAAATCATGTTTCCCTAGAAAAACTCTCCTACACAAACACTTGGCAATAAAGCGCTTTTTGCTCTCTTCAAAGCTTGATGGCTTGTTTAACAAAATTTTATATAAAGGTTTTAACAGATTTTGCTAAAGGTTGATGAAATGTGTGGTTGAAATTCATCAAAGTTGTGTGTCTATTGAAATGTGGTTAAAATTGAAATTTGACAAGTTAAAAAGTTGATAAAATTTTAACTCAAACGAGCACGAAATGTGCTCCAAGTCTTCTTGACATATCTTGCTTGATCATGAATTACATTTTTATTGTGTCAAGATCTCTCATTAAGGCATTCAATATAATCTTCGCGACATATATGGTTAATGCATTCACTTTTGGAACATGCTTTTGTAACACCATTATGATCAAGGTCTCAAATACAAAGTTCTCAGACGCAATTCATTGAACATATGGGGAGAATTATCATGTCAATCACAACCCCTCTAAATTATGAATAATGATATTTAATATCAATGGTGTTGAACATCGACTCAAGTATTAGCATATTATAGATCCTATTAGATGGATCATAATTTTTTATATTTCAGTTGCTAAATAAAATTACTGCTGAGGTATCGATTGCAATTTGCAAACAAGACATGGATGGCAAAAAGTATGTGATGACTAAAACGTTAACAGTGGCATCACCTCATCAAATCAGCTCAAAATTCTTTAAAAGTCCAATGAAGAAAATAATGGACATATAAAACAAATAAGGGCATGTTTGGTACTATTGGATTAAAGAATATAGCTAAAAGGGACCTGATTTGGGATAATAAGGTTAGGATATTGTCGTAATTAAGGTGGAACATGGAGGATTTTTTTTATTTATTATTTTTTTTTATACGGTGTTTGGAGCTATACTATATTTGAAGATCGTACGAGCAATGAAAAATTAATTATATGACGAAATATTTTAGATTTTTTTTTTAAAAAAAATTTACTTACAACGTCTTCTTGTAGGAATTTTTTTCATACACGTAAATGATATTTTTATTTATAAGTAATTTGTTTAATCAAGCGTTCTTAAGTTAAAAGTGAAACCTTTTCTTATGTTTCAATTTTTAGTTGTATTTATAACTTTTTTCCTTATGAATGACTTCTGTTTCTTACAGAAAATTTTTATCTTATGCCCTTGTTTAGAATGGATTAAAATCTAAATTTTAATCTTAGTCAAAGTTAACAATTATTTTTAACCATAAATTTTATAGGTTTCACAACTTTTCAACTACACATTTCATCAACTTTATCAAAATTTACTAAAATTCTATTTTCAATCTCCATCAAATAGGGGCTATATGTAACTTTTTAGTTATAAGTGGCTTTTTTTTCATATATAAGTGAGTTTTAAAAATATAAATGACTTTTAATACTTATAAGTGCATGTTATCTTACAATGGATTTTTTAATTAGCAGCAATATTTTTTAATAAATTTTAATTACAAAAAGAAAGTAAATTAATTCTTCAAATAGGCTACAAAAGTTGTAGTTAAAAATATTGACAAGCAAATCAAATAGGACAAAATTTTGGTCAAAAGATAAAAGAGTACAACGCGTATTTTCTCCTCTCGCAATAATATCACTTTAATTATATGCTTCACGAATATTAAGACCCCGTTTGGTACTCATTTTTTTCAAAATGCATTTTTCTCTTTTTTCTTTTCAACCACGCATTCTTTATTTAAATAATATTACACATTAATCAAAAGCTTTTCTTTATTTTTCAACCACACATTTTTCTTTAATTTACTATTCAAAAATGCATTTTTACATAAAAATGTCTCCCGAACACCCCCATAAATCTTTCAAAAATAGTAATTAATAGTCATGCCAAATGAGTTTACTATAACCCATTTCTTATAAGCATATCAAATTTCATTAGCTAAGATTACAAGAAATAGACTTGTGATTGAATCTACTATAAGATAATTTATTTATTTATAAAAGTCTTTACAAAATTCATTTTGTTGAAAGTCATACATTACATATTATGATTTCATTTTTCTTAATTCCTTTTTCTCATAAGTATACACATTAATTGTTCGGATTATAGAACCAGCAATTTCAGGTTCTCTACTAAGTTCAATTTTGTCAAGATTGTGTCTTTTTATTTGACCAATTATTTTGTTCAATAGATGTAATTTGATAAATTTATTTCAATATCCTAACTATTCATAATATGAAGCTTTACATCATGTACAAAAATGTTGTCGTCGGTAATTTCTTTTCGATTATATTTCTTTCCCATAACGATATAATTTATTGAGATATCTTCAATTTCAATATTTCAAATACTTAAACCTTTTCTAGAGGTTTTATAATTAGATATGTCTATATGTTCTTCAAGAATATATGTCTCTTATATGGGATCATCTTCCTTATATATTTTATGTTTTTCATGGAATTTTTTTACTTAAATCAAATGTAAGCACGCTTCATGCATATAATAGATTTATCAAATATTATGTTAAGGAAATTGTCCTCCCAGAACATCAAGTAGAGATGGAGAACTTAGAGATGATGTGTGAAATATTGTTAACATCTTTGATACATAAATCATATAAATGAATTATTTTTCGAACTTCTAATTCGAATTGTCTTTTGTGGGATAATGATGATGATGACGATAATACACTCTATATATAATTTTTAGCCACTATTTTCTCCCCCCCCCCCCCCCCCCCCCCCAACAAAAAAAAACCAAAACAAAA